GGGCAAGCACCACGCAGAAAAGCCAAGAGAGAAGGGGGGAGCCCGCCCGGGTCGTTGATTTCCCAAAACGTGGACGGTTTCTGTTGTTGTGCTGGATGGTGGTGTTGTGGTTTAGGGCTGACACGGAGGGCAGATGTAGGGACATGATGTTGGTCACACCAAGTGTAAGAGGGCTGTGTGTGCGTGCGGTTTCTTGATGCGGGTTGTTGGGTGGGAGAAACCTCTTGAGGTTTTTCCTGTGCCGAATAATGCCCACGAACGGTTGATTGGATGTGTAGTAACCTTTCCCTTTTGAGCCTCGATCCCTTTTGCCACTCACTGCTGTAGAGTGTGAGGGACATTTTTTTTTTTTTATGTATGTTTATTTTGGTCGACACAAGTTAAGTTTTTTTTTCAACTTTCGGGGGTATTCGATCGTGTTTTACGAGACACAAACATGCATCCCATTTTTCCTTTTGGGTTAACGCTCGAGATTCGCCCACGTTACTTTTAGCGCAGGTAGGGGGGGGGGGGGCGCGAATGGTACCACAGGAAGAGACTAGTGGTCCCCGAGTTGAGTTCTGCAGTCCTGCAATCTTGTTACTTACAATACCCAACAGCAACCGTCGTGAGAGAACGAAACATGCCCACGAGTGGCCCCCCAACACTCCCAACCAGAATCAATGTCACTGCATGTGCACAGGAAGAACCGCATGGTGCCGCGTCAGCAAGGGTTATCCCCGAAGCTTTTCCCGGTATGTCGGAAGTAGGCATGTGCGTTGAACTGCCTGCCAGCTGTGGCCTATTGATGGTACGTATCATAGCCGCCGTCACATGAAGGGGGCGATGTTTTGATCACCACTCGCTGTCGAGCTGGTGTGCGTGATTGAGCTTGAGTCCGCCTGTCTGCCATGTCGAGTACGTGCAACAGCGACGCGATTGTTGTTCTTTGTCTCGGCGCTCTGGTCTGAGTACAGAGATGCACAGGGTGTGGGCGAACCGCCGCTCACCGCCGTCGATGGGCCAGAACCCGATGATTCCCATGCGTGAAAGAAGTTTCATCACCCCGAAATCAAACGCTGATGTGAAAAAAAAGAAAAATCCGTGGCCGCGCGTGCGTTCATGTAGCGTGGTTTGTGGAGGGGGGGGGGGGGCGTACCCATTTGATGCTTGCCTGAGTCATTTGACCATTGACCACGCGTCCCTTTCGAGACGGAGCACCGTTCCTACCCTACTAGAGACACCACCAACATTTGGGAGCTCTTTACGTTTCTGCCACAAACTACATAAAAAAATTCTTGCACATCTTATCCCCGTCCTCTAGGGCCTCTTGGGGGGGGGGGAGTGTTGTACAATACCGTGAATACTCAGTTGCGTTGGTTGAAGAAGGGAGGCCGCGAGCGAACCGCCCGCCCCAGTGTCCACACAGGGCTGGCTAACTTTGCCGCATGCTGCTGCTGCTCTCGGCACGAGGGGTGCATAAATAACATCACCTGACGACGAAGATTAAGATTCTCTACGAAACCCCGGCTTCTCGCCAGGAGCGCTGGTACCTGCCGCCGTCTTTCTACGTGTATATGCCTGGCCTTGACAAGAGCCATTCCACAAAGTACAAGCAAACACGATGCCCCACCCCCCCGCCCCTGTACAAAAGACGTCTCTTACGCGAAACCAACCGCTGTCGCGCGCAGCAATCGGCGGTCTTCAGCATGGCAACATTTCAGTTCGCCCCGCCACCCACACCCCCGCAAAGCCCTTCGTGCTAGCCTTTATAGGCTTGCCACGCATATCTCAACCACAGCAAAACGACTCCGGCAAAAACAACGTCGACCCCCAAAGACCTGGACAGACGAAAAAAACAAAAGAAAGTACCAAGACTAGACGATTTACACCCGCGGCGACTCGGTACAACTTCACTATTTTAGGCAGCACCACCTGGCACAAAAACGCGCAGGCCATTACAGACCGCCACCCCAAGGCAAAAAAAATCGGCCACCGCCGCAATGATTCACCCCCACGCGCCACGGCCGCCGCGCCGGTAGGGAGGCACGCCCGCCTGATTCGCCGCCCAACCCGCCCCGAACCCTCCCCCTCTCCTACCCCCGGAGAACAGCCAACCGCCACCGCCTCCCCAGCCCCCTCCCCCACCACCACCATCCCGCGCGCCAAAAGTGCTGCGCCAGCCAGACCGCCAGCTAGACGATGACGGCGGCGACGGCGGCAGCGGCGGTGCCACGCCCGGCCCCGTTCCGTCCCCGCCCAGCGGATCCACGAAGCCGTACTCCGGGGAGGGGGGGGCTCCGT